GGATAGAATTTGACACTACTTCCTACTGTCTTAATAGCATTTATAAATTATTGGTAATGATTTTAATCATTGAAGCCAGCTGGTTGGCTCAATTTTGAATGCTATTTACATTTAAAAATAATATAACTATAATTCTTTAAAATACCTACTAACCTAAAACATGCCCTACTTTAGATAGTATGATAGGAATGGCAATAGCAAAAGCAGCAGGATCAGCCTCTGAGCATTTACAATAGCTCTAGGATTTTCCTAATTTGCAGACATTCTCTATTTCATAAAGTTTTTGGGAAAGAGTGTTTATTACTCTCATCCTATAGATGAAGAAACTGAATTTTTTTTATTGGGGGGGCTGGCTCAGCCCGCCCCGAGGGAGGGTTTCGTGGCATGTGGTGCTGGGGCTTAAACCTCGGTCCCCTGTGCCTGCCTAAGCTTGCCTCAGCAGGCGCTTTAGACTGCTGAGCTACCTTGCCGGCCTGCAACTGAGATTTAATGAGGACCTCACAAAACTGATGAATGTCCAAGCTGGGGTTGGACTGTAGTGGCTGACTCCACAGCTGGGCTCTTGTAGTAATAACTGACAACAGGTACTGTCTAGCGTCTGAAATAAGCGCTTTCTGAAATATTTTTATGTGCATTTCTTTAAAGGTTTTTATCTGTTCATATATAAATTTTATGCACAGCATGCATTTTTCCAATAACTTTTTTTTAGAAGCAATATAACATTCTATGAGTAGTAATAAACAGGAAGACTTTTGAGTAAACAGTCTAGAGCAGAGCAGGATCTGGAAGCTTGAAGATGAATACATTCAGTTAATTTGAAAAATTTGATTACATTGTATTGCCCAACTTTATCCCCTCTATACAATAAAAGAACTCTTCTACAGAGTCAGACAGAGTAACATTTGCATACTCATTATAAGGTTACATAAAATTAATTGCTCATTAAATTTTTCCTAATAGTTTATATTCCTTAGCTCACATCTTATTTTAGCTAAATGGCAGGGCACTAATGTTAATATTCAGTTGCTCAGATAGAGCTTTCACTAGAGTCAAGTTACCTTTGAAGACTCTTGTGGCCCACCGCGCTTGGAGCTCTGTGCCTGCTAGGATGGACCCAGTAAGGCTGATAAGGCCAATGATGGCTAATGTCGTTTTTTCCAGAGTTGGGGGAAAGACCAGCTTGTATAGGAATATCTTTTTTGTACAAAGACTTCTGAGAGGTTCTTCAAGAAACGGAAAAGAAAATGTATATCCTGTAGCGAAGATCACAATATCGACATTTGCTTCCGCTGTCCCATCTTCAAAGACTGCAGAGGTCTCTGTGAACTCCTTTACGCTGCTTTTCACAGTGACTGTCCCACAGAGGATGCAGGTTGGCAGCTCATCGTTCATAATAACTTTCTTCTTTTTCCTTTAACACATAGGAAAGACATATTCACTATACTTACTATATCTATGAGCTACTTTAGCAAATTATTTATTCAGTTGAAGAAATTATCTGCCAAGCCAAGAAAATAAATTGACCAAGGTCTACTTTAAAGTTGTCTACCTGATTATCTGTGTTCCTGTTTTGTTTTCTTACTCTCAATAAAAGGCAGGTGGAAAATGACCCTATTATTTTCTACTCGATTCACAACTATGCTTCCCTTGGAACTGATACTGAACAATGCTTTTCTTAATATGTTAACATGAAAGTATACAACAAAGCATTTGATGATGAATTTAGGGTTTCATATTGCTTAGGCCTCCAAGAACGATATGAATAGAAAAGTGAATTAACAAGAAGTTCTTTGGGGGCCTGGGAGATGGCTCAGTAGAATAAGCGCTTCCTGGCAAGTGCAAGGGTCTGAGTTCAATCCCAGGTTCCACCAAAAGAAAAAAAAAGAAGTTCTTTGAACACTTTTTTTTTTTTTTTTGGCAGTACTTGGGATTGAACTCCCTGTACTTGCCGGGCAAGCACTTATTCTACTGAGATATCTCCCCGGCCCTGAACAAAAATTTAAAAACTGAATCTGTTTACACTGATAAGTATGTTCATTGTAAGCATCATTCTACCTACAGTATATCTAATCACAAAATTAGTATGCAGAGATATAGTCTATACAATTTGCATGTTAAATATGCTTTGTCACAAGCTTTTCTTGAAAGGTAGAATATATCTTGCCAAAGAACATTTAGCATATATAATAGATAGAAATAAAAGTTAATGACCTTTTATCCATCAAAGTTTTGCCATTCCTTTCTAGGTTGCAACTCTAGGCAGAGTTAAATTAAAATATATCATTTTAGGAATTTTTATGATATATCCACACTTCTAATCACTGAGCTAAAATAGACATTTATTGTAGGCTAGGGAGAGCTGATCTTCCGCACTCACTGATGCTACAGTGGGACTGTATTTCTAGAAGGTAGCACTTTCAGGGTTCTTTAAGGCCCATTTAGATTTTCTGATTTTCAGGGTGACAGTGAGTGATATAATCTTTCATTTTCTTCTAGTCTTATGAATTAGTATTTCTGTTACTAGACTGTCTTAGTTACTCTTCTCTCGTTGCTGGGACAAATACCTGACACTCACAATGAAGGAAGGAAAGGTTTATTTAGCTCACAGTTACTGGAGGTTTCAGTCCATACTCAAATGGGTCCAACGCAGAGCAGCATGTAGCAGAGGGCAACCTTTCATGGCGTCGGCAAAGAGCAAGAGCGCAAGGGAGGGGTAGCAGCAGCTCAAGCAGCTGGCTTCTCTTCCCACCTTACATTGTAATGCAAATTACCTGCCCCAGGGTAGGGGAAGTACTCACCCCTATGGGTACTTCCCAGTACTTACCCACCTATGGGTAATCCCAGCAGTACTAAGACCCATAATCCCAGCCTTGGATCACACATAATCCCAGTGGATCATGAGTTAACACAAACTCTAGAAGTCCTCACCCCATGACTGCATGAGGCTTTGGGGGGACAACTAGACACAAACCATAACATAGACCAATTCTTTTTTTTACAGAACTGGGGATTGAATTTAGGCCCTTGCGCTTGCCAGGCAAGCACTTATTCTACTGAGCTATCTCCCCAGCCCTGATGCTGTGATCTTGAAAGGACACGGGTTCTAGCGAGAGAAGTGTGCAAGGGCGGAGATAAAGATCACATTACAGAAAATTCTGAGTTCTGAATAATATAGAAAGAGAAATAGCAATTAAAAATTCCTATGAAAAATGCAAATCAAACTTCAGTGAGATATCATCTTATTCCATGTTGAATGGCTATATTGAGGAAGAAAGCAAATAAAAAATAGCAAATTCTGATGAGGATAGGAGAAAAGAGAGTTTTTATAGATTACTGGTTGGAATATAAATTAGCCAGTGGGGAGAACAGCATGGAGGGCTCTCAGAAATCTAAAATTAGATTTCCACATGAGCCGGCAACTTTGCTCTTGGGTACATATGTAAAGGAAATCTAATCTCTGTACCAAAGTGATGCTTGCATTCCCATGGTTATTACATAAATGCAGGTGCCCATAAAGGATGGATGGACAAAGAGCATGTGGTACATATGCACAACGGAGCATTTTTAGTCATAAAGAAGAAAGAAATCCTGTCATTTGCAGCAGAATAGATGGAACTGGAGGATGTTATATTAAGTGAAATAAGCCAGAAACAGACAGACAAGCGCTATGAGTTCTTTCTCATATACAGAAACCAAACATTGAATAATGAGTATTGGAAATGAGGAATGGTATGTATGTGAGGGGAATGCAAAAAGAAGTGGCTGGATTTGACCAGTGCATGCATCGAAATATCACACTGGACCCTACTCATATGTTCAATTAATATATGCTAATAAAAAATAAAAACTTCCCAATAAAAGATAAACTTTACCTCTTTGTAATACTTAATCCATAATTCTCATGGTTAAATCTTTTATTCATCTGCCTCTCTTGGGTCCAGTTTAGGACACATGAAGGCACAACTTGTGCAAATAAATTATTGCATCTTCGTGTTTTCATCATGTTCTGAGGGTATCCCCCATTGGAAGAGCGGCCGTTAACCCAGATGTCACTTCTGGTACTAAGAAATACCTAAAATATAAGAAAAAGAAGGATACATACATGTCCAATACTTGGTGGCTTTTCTTTTAGATGATTTATGATTTTTTCAAATGTTCTTATAACATTTTGGTCTTCTAATAACAGAGAATTTTTATGAAATTGTTTATGGATTCATATACATATACAAATATATATATATATATATA